GCTGTGGGGTCTCTGGCACCCTCTGCTCTGTGCCAGCCTGTGGCACTCCTTGCTGGGAAAACACTTCTCTCACCCTGTGCGTGAGTGCGCTTGTCACGGATCCTGAATGAAGAGCAACTTCCTTCTGCAACAGACAGACCTATTGAAGTTTCTGTGGCAAATGCTAATTACTCCATTCCTAAAGGAACTGTAAGTGTAAAGTCGAGGTAATTACTCAGCTGAGAAAGTGTAAATTAAGTACTTTCACCAAGGGAAGGGATGTGATTGATGGAGACTGTTCTCTTTATACAGTCTCTTTCCAAACATTGATCTTATCCTGTCACTTACTGCAAGAGCAACAAACAGAGGGAGTTTTAATTTCTGTATTTCCTATTCCTCATCCTAAAAATGATGTTCCCCTGAACAGGGGAAAGTTGAATAAAACGTCTTTAAAGATCTTACTCTCAAGTTTTGCTGTGATTTTCCCTCTTTTTTCCATTTCCCTATGCTCTCCCAGTAGAGTGCTGTTTCTTGGATAAATGTAGCTCAGGTAGCAAACACCCTCGTTGTGAATGTTTGATGATTTGTATTCTGGTTTGGGCAGGCTGAATGGCAATTTGTGTCTAGCTGGAACCGTTGCATTTCAGAATGGAGGTATTTTTCCACTTAAAAAAACCACCAGTTGTGGATGAGTTTATCATGGTCATTTTTAGAGATACAGATAGTCGTTCTCCAACTGGAGTGAATTGCACCAAATAAATATTTGTGAGCCGAGATCAGTGGATGTGGGAATGGCGTTTATTGCATGGGAATCCTGATCGGGTAGGAGGTACTGGGAGGCTCTTGTGTCACTTCTAAGGATGTTGTTAAGATTTCAGCCATCCCATCCTACTGCATGTTTGCTAATATTGAGGCTCATGGAGAAAGATGGTCTTGAATTTCCTAACTGAGAACAGGCAGGAAACAAGAGATCCATAAAGCAGCCCTGCAGTGAGGGTGTCCAAGGCTTTCCCTGGGCACACCAACCCTTCATCCCACCTACTGCCACCATAAAATGCACTGGAGGTGGCAGAATGCTGTGGACGGTGCTCCAGAAACACAAACTCTATTTGCAGTTACTTGATATTTTTTGGCCTGTTCTTTCACATTTACTGAATTACCTCAGGCTTAATCCTATACTATCATCTGCTTCGTCCCCATTCTCCTTGCGACGGGAAGAAATCAGCTTTGCGCTCTCAAACTAGGATTAACTGAGGAATAAAAATGAAGCTCATGAGTGGGATACAGGGAAAAAGCTTCTGGGCCAGTAAGAGTGAATCAGCGTGAAGTACAGCCCCGGGTGACCATGTTCAGTTGTCTCTT